AATAATAGATAAAAATATGCATAAAAAATACAAGGATTTGTAGCATTCACTGACACTTCAGACAGTTTGCACTTGACTAGACATTCTTCTGTAAGCCTAATTTTGTCTCAAAAATTGGTGTCCAAAAAAGACTTAATGTAGCTTTATAATATGCATTTCACAACACAGAAAATATATCAGTCACTAGAATAAAATATTCTAAAACTATTATAATTTCTTCAGCATTCTAAGTAAGCTATAAATAGGCTAAAAAATTTATTATTATTCAAAGCAGAACATCTGACCACCACAAACCAAGCAATTCATCTCGATTAAAGGCTTTCACAGCCAAAACTAAACAAAGAAGTGTAAGAGGATAATTTGATCTTTTTGTTTGTTATAAAAATGTCCATCAGCCATGAAAAATGTATTAGCAAAGAATCTTGAAAGTCAGAAAGAGGTAAAGGCTTTCTTATTGATATCTCAGTAACTCAATAAGATAGGACATTCAAATATTAGATTCTAGCTTGTAAATATGTATCGTTTGTGTTTCAGATTTATTGGGAACTTCTACTGTGTATTTTTGAAGTTAGAAAATTCTGATGGGAAGAAATCGGAATTCAAGATGCATCTTGGGATCCATAAAAATGAAGATTGAGAATTTTTTTAATATTTCTTTTCAAATTAAGATGTTAAATCTTAGATAAACATTTGAATTATAAACAATATTTTATGGCATGTCTGCTGACATACACTTATGATAATGTTGTTTAATTAAATTTTGAATTTAATACTGTAAAAGCGACGATATGCCTGAAAGGATCACTTCCATATGCATAGGGTTAAGAGGTATATGATTTGTGATGTTGGTAGTTGAAGCATTTTATTTACTCTAACAGTAGAATGCATACCAAATAGGTATGTTAGACAAGTATTTTGTTTAAATATAAGACTAAAATATACCCACACATCGGAAAATAATAGCACTGATGCAGCATGCTGAACATATAAACAGTAATGAGAAAACAAACCTTCAATGCAGTAACAACAGTTTCCTGGTGTTTCTTCACAGCTTCGTGGGAAAACTCTGATGTTGCCAGCAAGCACATGCTTTCTAAAGCTAAATACCTGAAAAAAGAAGACACTTTTTAATATGTTTAACTTCCCGTACATCATTATAATAATACAACTAGGTCAGTCACCACAAGTATGTTATTGGTAACAGCAATGGTCAACTAAGGCAAAACACAAAACAAAAACAAATTGACTGCACACTCCAATAATATTGTGTATCAGCATTTTGTTTAGCTTTTTTCTTACTAGCCTAGTTTTTATATTCATATTATAAACATTACAAAAACAGTCAGTAGAAAAATCACAGATATGTAACTTTCAATCATGGAAAAGGCTTACCTTAAATTAGTTTCTCTGTGCTGGAGAAACTGTCCTAACTGGTTACAACCTCTAACAAGGAGATTTGGTTCACTGGAACAAATTACAGAATTGTATCACAAGCTATTAAATGAGCTTACAACAAACTCAGAAAACAATTTAAATTATCAATAAAAATGTTACAGAATAAATCCATACTAAATTTATTCTAATCAAAAGTAGCAGCATATAAACAAAGCTATTCTACAAAACTGTATCATACAAACTGCTGCACAAAAACACTTACCTATCCATGTGAATTATAAGGCTGATTGCTTCAAACAAAACGGCATTTTTGGCATTAGAGTGCTGAACCTTTTTAGATTTTGGTGGCTCTTGAGCTTTGTTTAAAATGGTTTCAAGACATTCTGTCAACCTACCTCGAACACCTGGATCCTCTACAAATCCAACAGTTGAAAAATAAATTAAAATACTTTACATAATGCCTGTGTATATCTGATATGTATGAAAATGCATGACCATAAAAAAAATTTTTTAACCGACTTTTATAAAGATAAATGCAAGAGGAAACTCTCTCTAGAAGTACATGAATTGTTACATAATTTGGAACAGCACATTTTATGATACTGTACATGTCGCTTAGTTCCACTGTACCACAAAATTAATATTACAGCAGTGTTAATTTTACAAAATACATAAGACTCTAAAGGCTTAAATTCCTAGCCTAACAAATATGGTAACCCTTTCACTGCCAAAGCAACCTATCCACAAGTGGTAACAGAATTCTGAAGAATGTATATTATAAGAACAAAGCCTAACATTATCACTGCACCACTTACAGCTTCCCTAGGCTTCATAGTCTATTTTCCTATACTTTAATTAACCCACACAAACATCCTCAGCATGTCCTAAAATCTATTACTATTTTTATGTAGACAATTATGTATTTTCTATCATTTTCATTTCTTATAAGTAATTTGTAACTTAACAGATTGTCCTTAAAACGTATCTATTATTTAGACGTTGTGTTTTTTAATTTTAACCATCACGCATCCATTCCCTTTTCTGCTTTATTAAATCTATGTTGCGAGAGAGTAGGCCTTCAGAAAAGTTTTTTAATGCCATCACCACTGAAGTCAAACTTTCTCTTCAGAGCTGCCCCTAGTGAGAATATATCTGAACTGAAAATTTGACTTTATGGTTGTCTATTTTCATTTCTTTTGTAATATTTTCAAACTTGAGATTTGTTTTTCTTTGTTTACAATGATTTCTACCACATTTTGAGTCAGTTAACCATATCAGTAGCATATGTGTGATATCTTCACAGAATGTTTACTTAGTGAAATACTGTCTCTAAAGTTAGGAAAACATGAGTAGTCCAGTCATTTTTTTTATACACTTATACACTTAAGGAGATAGCTATAAAACATTAAATGGATGTTGGAAGTGCTAGTATAAAAAAAATTAACAACTTTAAAATTGAGATATCAAATAATTTACTTTCAAAATTTACTAAATTTGAAACAAAGTTTGAACATTAAAGTTTGTGAATTTCTCTAAATGCTCTGAACTCTGAGAGATAAAAGGATAATTTTCCAAATCAAACAAAAAAAAAGCAACTTCCAAGTTTATATTGTCATTGATTCTAATTTTATACCATGTAGATTTAAAACAATTACAAAACAGGCAATACATTACATATATTTAACAGCACTTAATACTTCTACTCACCAGGTGGTGGGTAATTCTGTAAAAGCCTCAACAACTTCATTGAAAGCCATGGCGCAGGAACAAAATAGTAAGTGTAATCTTGTAGATCTGTGTAGGAAGCAGTTACAATCTACAGTGATATAAAATATTTAAAATTTTAGTGGGTTTAAGACAACATAATAATCATTATTATTGCACCAAATAACATAAAACATAGATCTAATCAAAGAGATCATAATAAAAAGTAATACTCTACAATTAAAATGAAATAAAAAGGGGAACTTATTTCTATCACTTTGTGCTGTCTCTCTTGGTTTTCCAAAGAATTGACCTTTATTTTACTTTCTACTTTCAAACAAAAGGTTTTAGGGTAGAATCAAAGCTGAGATGTAAAGAAAAACAGAAAAAGGAGAGAGGTTACGATGTGTGTTTTACAGCATATCTCACCCTCTATTGTTAGATTCTCTTGTCTAATCATCACCTATGTTACACTACCTTGAACTGATCTTTACATTGTATTATCCTAACCTTATATGTCCAATATTGTTCCTATGACATCACATTAGTAGGTCTAAAAACTTGTGTGAAAAGATACTTCCAATACTCTACCAAATACAACAATAAAGCACATAAAATTAATAGCCATTAACAATGGTATTTACATCATACAGTGAAAGATTCACAGAAAACACAATAGGCACAAATTACAATAAAGCCACTGTATTAGAAAGCCCACAATAAAACAAGAATAGGCTCAAAATACCAAACACTCTGCACAGGAGATCTGAACATGAAGGTAGAAGTACACTCTGAGAGGATCCTCCAAATGGATCATAGCAGCCACAGTCTAAGCTATAGTTTCTATATCTTCATTGTTTTTCCATTAAAAAATAAACGATAATAGTAAAATATATGTGAGAGGTAAACACATGTATATTTTGCTGAAGATATCAAGGATATTAACAAGTGCTATTGCTAAGCATTTTTGAAAGAAATATTGTCTTTTTCCACTAAAAAGATCTTTACAAATTAAAAGTCTTAACATAGCAAACAATCTTGAAAGACAGAGGGGATGGGCTTCTCTGGTGGGTTTAACAATATTGAAGATAAATGTTCAAAGTTTAGATTTTTTTGCTTATAATTATGTATAGTTTGTGTTTCTAATTGGTTGGAAATCATAGAAGCATATTATTGAAGTTAAAAATTTATAAGTTTGGGTTAATTTCAAAGGAAAATCCCCAAAAAAATACTATTTTCATTTATTTGTATCACACAATGTGTCTGTGCTCTGACTTGAAATTGAAACTTAGATAATACAAGTATTTGAATTATAGACTATATTTTCATGCCATGTTTAGTGACACACATTGATAACAAAGTTGTTGAATTAAATTTTGAAAGTAAGAGTATAAAGGTCATGACATGCACAAAAGAGTTGGGCCTGGATCCATAGGGTACCATAGCAAAGAATGTTCCAATTTAGGAAACAGTTTCCATAAACAAAACTCTGACAAAGGTAAAAAACAAAATAAAAAAAGAATGTGAGTAAGAAATGTGCATTTTATGCATACGTTAACCTTGCTAAATGTTTTGTTTGTTTGTTTGAAGTTTAGCACAAAGCTACACAATGGGCTATCTGTGCTCTGTCCACCACGGGTATCGAAACCCGGTTTCTAGCATTGTAAGTCCACAGATATACCGCTGTGCCACTGGGGGAGCCCTTGGCAAATGCGTGAAACAAATTTCAGGCATTCCATAACTGAGACAAATCCAGAAGTAGAAGCCAATCCTCTATAAACTGCAGAACTACAAGGAGATAAAAAGCTATTGTCTAGATGAGGATCCAGAACATTGTCTGTAGTTTTTCTGGACAAAAGCAAAAAGCAATTTTTTGAAGTAAGAAATATGTTTGTAACTGTTTAACTAGAAGATAAAAGGGAAAGGAAATTGGACCAGCCAAAACAATATGAAGTTCTAGACCATCCCAAAAACACAAGGGTCCGTAAGGATGTTCCTCAAAAAGATCTGAAAACTTTTTCCCAATTTACTATTTACTAGTCCCACAGATAAAAAAAAATGTGTTAAATTTTGAACAACTTTTGAATGTAATACCTTAAAATATTTACATAAGTGCTCTGTCTAGTTTAGTTATCCAGAGATTTATCATTTAAGGCGTTATTAGTCAATCATGTCAAATATGACCAATAAGAATGAACCAAGTCCAAAATCAGTTCAATATAGGATGCAATTAATGAAAGATTACAAGAATAGTGCACTCATCCATGTAAAACTATTTTCAGCTGGGACATTTTAAGTTAAAATTTGAAGAGTATGGAAATATTTATTAGCAATTACTGTAAAGCTGAAATGGCTATCTAAATAATTTTAAGGAATATTCTAACTAAAATTTGGTGTTTGAATATTTGGCGATTTTTAATATGTTATATTTTTGAGGACCTTCCTCATGTTTTAAACAGTTTTATCAGTTACAACCTCTGAATACATATCTTCATGTCTGCTTATCTACCATCATAACATTAAATGAAATCTTAATCAATGAAGTTAACTCAAGTTAAGTATTTGCTAGAGTACATAATGTTTATAGCTTGGATTGTTATGAACATGATGTGTTTTTGCTCGGTGATTAAAATGAGACCATTTCTTCCCAGAGTTCATTGTGCTCCCTCCATTACAGTGAACATGTGAAGCAAAATGAGTTGTGGGAGATGAAAACCTTTCAGGTGAAATGACTCTGATCATGTCACAGATCCAAGCATTTGCAGGATGTAGTAAAGATTAGAACTTTGCATTTTACCATAAACCTATAATGAAAAAAATTTTGTTGCTAAGTATAGATATATACAAATTTGGGGCAACTAAATCCTAATGACAACACTAAAAATAAACCAAATACCAATAAAAAAAATAAATTAATAATTAGGGCAGTATGTGACATTGCCAAGTTGACAATAGTATGATCTAATGTACACTGAGTGGTCACAAGTAAATAGACA